GTCCCCCCCCCTCAGGGACCTCTGTGGCTCCCCCACCAGCACTGAAGTGGCCTCCAGTCTACTTGACTTTGAAAAGAACTTTCCAGAAGCCTCTGGGGCTGCTCCATCATTCTCCAACCTCCCCAACAAACATCTGGAAAGTTGCCATCTCTCCTCAGCCCGCTGTGATCCAGCTTCCTCCCCCATCCGCCCTTGAACCCGTTCTCCTTTCCCGACTCCCGCGTGCCATGAGCCCATAGCCCTGCCTGGCCTCGCCCTTCTGCATCTACCCGAAAGCTCCAGCCAGACGGCCTTCCTGCCTTCCCCGAGCCGGGGGCGATGACACCTGGGCTTTGTGCTGACTCAACATGGCCTCTGGGACGTCCCAGGCCCAGACACCCAGCACCGGACATACAATCTCCTCCCGAAAACCCACGCCTCCTCCTGTGTCCTGTCTCAGTGACCATCCACTACCTACCCAGCAGCCAGGTGAGAAACCTCGTGTCACCAACCAGCCCACATTCTGTGAGCTCTACCCCAAAGTCTGGAAATCCTGTCTCCCATCCCTGCAGCCTCTGCCAGCGCAGGCGTGCCCCCTCCCCTGCGGCTGCTGTTTCTATCAGCACCTGATGCTCACCTTGCCCCCCCCACCCAACCCACCCCTCACGGGGCAGCAAGAGCAATCTCTACACTGCCAGCCAGCTTGCTCCTCTATTCCTTCATCAGAAAAAGCCAAGGTCCTTGTCCTGAGCGTCTGTGGCCTGGTAAGAGGAATGGGAATGAAATGAAGATTCGCTCACTGAAAGGGAAGTGGGAGGAAGAGGATGCTCCTCCCAGCCCTGGTGGACGGCCTGGGCCTGCCCTCAGGGGAAGTCCACATTCCAGGGGTGGCTGGCGCTCTTCCCCCTCCTTCCCCTCCTCCCCCTCCTTCCCCTCCTCCCCCTCGGCCTTCAGTTACTCAGGGATGGGACCTACTAGACTCCCCTTCTCACCTGGCTCACTCCTCCTCATCCTGCAGGGCCCACAGCCCCGGGTCAGTCTGGTTGAGGCCACTCGGTGCTGCTGCCACACTGTGCTGTCTTTCCCCACCAGACAGTGAGCTCAGAGGGGCAGACCGTGGGCCTGGTCCATGCCTGTGTCCCCGCCCTCATGCACACTGAGTGCCCAGAAACACTGGCCAAGTCGATGAACAAATGAGTGGGCGAGCGAGTGGACAAACGAATGCCTGCTCTGTCAGGGAACGCCTTAGCACCATTAGACCTGGGAAAACGCTAGTCGAGGGCCTGAGCTGGCCACTCCCACCCCGCTTTTCGCTTTTCTACCTGCCACCTGCCTGCCAGGCGGCCCACAAGGAACCATCAGGCCCTGAGGACGGAGAGGGGCTCCAGCTTCAGAGGAACCCGACCAGGGCTGGCCCAAGGGAGCTATTTTCCCTGTGAGGCCCCAGGCATTCCCGGGGGCGGGACAGGATGTGATGAAGCAATGCACGGAACAGGGTGTCAGAGTGTCTCCTTCCTGCAGACAGCATGCCTGCCTGCCACCAGCCCCCTTCCTGAGGGTGCCCTCAGCCAGCACACAGGACTCACAGGCACACTCGGGCTGAGCAGCTGGGGTAGGGGACAGGATGGGAGCCGGGCCGGCCGCTGCCCGCACCCTCCACCTGGTGGGAGGGCCCATCAAGCCCTAGGCTGGGCTGCGTCTGGGGCTACCGCCTGGCCCCTCACACCTTTAAAGAAGGGCTGGGGTTGGGAGCTCTCCACACACGCTTCTCCACAGGAGTCCTACTCTGGCTGTCTCCCTGTTCACTCCCAGGTAGTCTCAGACCTAACGCGGAGGAGGGAGCAGGGTCCGCCACGTCTCTGACAGGTTGTTTGCAGTCAGAGAGGCTCAGGGAAGAGGGGGCGCTTCCAAATGGTGCACCTGGACTCCGCAGTCTGAGTGACACCGGAGAGGCGTGTCCTTTCCTGGGCAGGGGCGTTTCAGGGGCCGCTGGGCCGTGGGGGATGCAGGGACACTGCCCTCCCAGGGCTGACACACAGAAGTCTCTAACCAACGGGGCTGCTCGATGCCTCTGTGTTCCATGAGGCACAGAGGGGTGTCGGAATCAGCCCCACCCTGGGCGTCCCAGCCCCTGGCCACACATCGCTGCTCACTAGGAGCTTCCACCTTGAGAGGAGGGACTCGGACGACCTGTTCCTTCCACCGTCGACCTCCCGCAGGCCCCGGGCGGGGAGGTCCCCTCAGCGGCTGTGCTTTGCTGCTGCCGAGGCCAGACCGCAAAACCGCAGGAGCGCCCTGCCCCGAACCCACCCACCTGCCTCTACGGAGGGGCCTTGGGTGGGGGGCTTCCCAAGCCAGGCGAGGGGCCACCACAAGGGACTGCAACGGTCTCCGGGTGTGGCCTCCCAAACGGTTTGCAGTTTCCTCCCCAGAGAGCAGGTGCTGACAGGCAGCCCCAGTCAAGCCCAACTCTGCCCCCACCACCCACGTGCAGGGAGAGGGGAGGGCAGCGCACCGGGAGCCTGGAGGCGGCTTGGCTTCCCCTCGGCGGACGGCAGCCACCATGGTTCCCGTTCCTGCTGGACCCAGACGGACGCTTCAGCTCCAAATCTGGTCTGGGGCAAGCTGAGGCAATACCGCCAGGTCCAGGCTAAGACCCGTCTCCTACACCCCAACCCTGCGATAGACAGAGAGGGAACCACAGGCCTTGGACCTCCTGCCCGGCACATCCCTTATGAGAAACCTGCACAAGGGCACCTTGGGGACACACCCCACGTGACCGCACATCCCTCCTGGCAGAAATGCAGCGTCTGTGGCAGGGACAGGCTCCCAACCTGCCGTCCTGACTTGGCAGGTCTGCGGTGGGGCCAGGAAGTCGGTATTTTTAGAAGCTCCTCCAAGGTCCTAAGCACCCCCACCACGGGCCACGGAGCCCACCCGCAGGCCCAGCCAGCGCGGGGCCACTCACCCTGTTGGCTGTGATGGCCAGGTTCTGGAGGTTCTGCAGGAGGCCAATGTCGGCGGGGAGGAAGGTCAGGTTGTTGTGGCTGAGGTCCAGGTAGCGCAGCTTGCGGCAGTAGAAGAGCTGGGGGGGGATCTTCTCGATCTTGTTGCGGTTCAGGTAGAGGCGCTCGAGGTTGGTGAGGTTGCCGATCTGGATGGGGATGTAGGCGATGTGGTTGTACCAGAGCTTAAGGCAGGTGAGGCGGTGCAGGTGCTGGAAGCTGATGATCTCCTCGATGGTCTTGAGGTTGTTGTCCTTGAGGTCGATCTCCTGCAGGTTGTGGAGGCTGAAGATGGAGTGGGGGATGCGCTCCAGGTCGCAGCGGATCAGTTCCAGCTCCGTCAGGTTCACCATCTTCTTGAGGCTGTTGAGGACGATGAGCTTGGTGCCCTCGTTGTTGATGGACAGCTTCTGCAGGTGCACGCCCACGTCCGTGACCACCTGCGGCAGCTTGCTCAGGTTGCTCTTCAGCCGCAGCACCTTGAGGCGCTTGAGCTCGCGCAGCCCGTCGATGACGATGTAGCGGTTGTTCTCCGCGCTCAGGTTGCCCGTCAGGTGCAGCTCCTCCAGCGTCTTCAGGCTGTAGATCCACAGCGGGATCTCCTTAATGTCCGTGAACTTGATGTGCAGCGCCCGCAGGTTCTCGCGCAGGAAGGCCAGGGCCGGCGCCTCGATCTTGGCCGCCGTGTGGTACAGCCACAGCTCCTTGAGGCCCGTGAGCTGGGCGATGCTGGGCGGGATGGTCACGTCCGGGATCAGCTCCAGCTTCAGCACCTCCAGCTCCACCAGGTCAAACACGGTGTCGGGGATGCCGCTGAGCATGAAGAGGTGCAGCTCCAGCTTGTCCTGCGCGTTCTTGGTGAGCCGCTGCCGCAGCTTGTCCAGCGTCCACTCGTTGTTGAGGTTCAGCTGCCGCAGCTTGTTCTCGCTCACCTCCGACAGGAAGACGGCGAAGCGCTTGGAGTAGAGCGGGTCGTACTGGTCGATGAGGTGGAGCATGAAGGCGAAGTCATTCTTGACGTCGGGGATGTCGCTGTAGCTGCTCTCTTCGCGGATCGACTCGAAGGAGTACTTCTTGAGGGAGCGGCGCAGCATCCACCACAGCGTGTACATGCAGATGAGGCCGTAGAAGATGACCAGGCTGATGTAGAAGGACGCCAGGATCTTGAAGAGCGTGGCCAGGGGGTGGGCACACCGGTAGGTGCGGTAGCCCGTCAGGCTCTCGATGTCCACAGTGCAGTCCACGTCGAACTTGATGTTGTGCACGTAGTAGACGGTGTAGCAGATGATGAGGATGAACTTGATCACCTTGATGATGGTCTGCCGCATGTAGAGGCGGTACACGATGTCCCCCTCCTCCACGTGGGTCCGGAACTTCTTCACCTTCTCGAAGAGCGCCTTGGCCTGCTCCCCCTCCTTCTTGTCCAGCACCCCCGTCTCCGAGCGGTCCACGATGCCCTGCTCGATCCGGGACTTGGTCCGCTGCAGCATGGGCACCGTGGCCTCCACGTCCTCGCTGACCGTCGAGGACTTCTTGTCCATGGAGCCGTTCATCTTGCTAAAGGTCGGCTTGGGGTCGCTCTCCTCTACCACCGTCTCCGACAGGGCCCGCGTGGTCCAAGGCGAGTCGAAGCACTTGAGCAGGATAGACACAAAGTGCTCCAGCTTCGAGCTGGTGCGCGGGAACTTGAACCAGAAGTTGCTGCAGGCCAGGAAGATGAGCGTGTGCAGAAGCACCAGGTAGGGGAAGTACTTGGCGAACCAGTGCAGGCGGTTCTCATAGCACACCGCGTCCACGTAGTTGTACTGGTGCCGATCCAGGTCGTACTTGATGCCCGTGGGGCCGGTGTCAGCGATCGGCAGGATAGTGGAGTTGGAGTAGATGGGCTCTGGCACGGGGGCTGCCCAGCTCCGGAAAGAGTCGTTGCAGGAGTCCTTGGTGACCCACTTACAAGGCAGGCAGATCATCTTGTCCTGGGTGACCTGCAGCGTGCCCCCAAACACTGCGATCATCAGCATGACGATGGAGATGTAGTCGGTGAACACGTCCCACCACGGCTTCAGGATCCGGTACGCTGGCTGTGTGTCCGCGAAGTAGCGGAGCTCTGTCACTGGAATCATGGTTCAACCTGAAAGGCACCCGTACGAGGGGGTTACTGCAGGGTAGCCTGGCTTTCTGGGACCCGGGGGTCAAGGGAAGGAGACAATGGACTCGTCCAAAATCCCACCTCGCGTCTAGCGGGGAGCCAGAGCCTGGCCACTCGTGGGGCAGCCCCCGGATCAGCCTTCCTCCAGAAACCACATGGTCACCCGGTGACTGGGAAACCCCTGTGGGGCGGCAGGCAGCCTCCCCATTTCACAGACAGGCAGGCTGAGCGCTGAGGTGAGGGCCCGGGCTGACAGATGGCTAATTCAGGCTCACAGAGGCATTTGGGTTAACCGGCTGGACCTTCTCCTCTTACTCAAGCATGTCGAACTCGTGGCCCGCGGGCCGTATGCCTCCTTTATTTGGCCCATGTTAGCCTTTGAGTTTGACATGCTTGCTCTTACTGATCAGACCGACTGCAGAGGCTTGTTGAAACCACCAGTTCACTCGGAGCCAGCTGCTGGGAAGCTGCGCCAGTGACCTGAAGAGATGTCTGCAGAGTCTGAGAAAAGCCAAATGCAGAAGAGGGGGCTTAATGTGAACTCACTTTTGTAAACCAAATAGGGAAGTCTGAGTGCTCCTAAGTGTGTGCATATAGTTATGTCCATACAGGATTCCGGGAGCGCTGGAGGGACCGGAAAACACACACAGGAGGAGCTCCTGGGTGAGGGGACGAGAGAACAAGACGTTCTCGGCCTGGAGCAGGAGGACAAGATCATGAATATGCACTATGGAAAATGATCACTGGTCATGTCCATCCACGTGTCTGTATAAACAAATTAAAAGCAGTAGCAGCAGGATCTGTCCCAAAAGAGTCCTATTCCGCAGATCTCGGGTAAAGCCAGGAATTTGATTTTATTTTTTGGCGGGGGGGGGTGATTTTTAAAAATATACATATATATATATTTCTTTATTGATTTCAGAGAGGAAGGAAGAGGAAGAGAGAGATAGAAACATCAATGATGAGAGAGAATCATTGATTGGCTGCCTTCTACACGCCCCCGACTGGGGATCAAGCCCGCAACCCGGGCATGTGCCCTTGGCTGGAATGGAACCTGGAACCCTTCAGTCTGCGGATACTCTATCCACTGAGCCAAACCGGCTGGGGGGGGGGAGATTTTTTAATATGTGACTTCGGTGACACTAATGATTGGCCAAGTTTGGGAAACACTAGCTTAGAAGCCACATTCAGGAACTCCGGCCAGTGGCGTACAGGAGGAGTGCCTCAAATACTCGTGTGCAAGGACTCTCCTCCGCGGTCGTTCTGCCAAGGCCCGGTGCTCTCGTGACCAGCAGTGCAAGATGAATGGGATGAGAACGGTACCTGATGCTGCGGGAGAACGCAGAGGCGAGAAGTGAAATCCCTGTGAAAACACCCCCAGGGCTACCACTGTTAACTTCTCAGTGAGCAATAACATCCTGGTCCTTTCTGTGTATATTTCTTAAAATAAAATTATGATTTTGCTTTACACCCTATTTTGTCATCTAGACTTTAAACGAAGATTAAATCCCGTGTTTTGACAAATGGATCTGTTTCTCTTGGGAGAGGAACAAGGTGTCCAGGTTATGGGACTGGGCCACCTTATTTTGATTACTAATAATATAAATGATGACAACAGTAATGAATGTTTCATGAAACAGGGCTTCCCTGCAAACTTCCCATCCTGTCCGAGCATGCTGGGATGGGTGGGGAGGACAGAAGGAAAGCAAAACAGGACCATGGAAAAACTGGGGCACTGAGATGGACGTGTGCAGGCACCGAGCTGGCCCTCACCATGGGGTCCTCTGTGGAATCCCTTAGATGCCAGGAAGGAGGGCCTACCTGCAGCCTCGTTCCACAGACGGGGGAACTAAGGCCCAGAGAGGTCGATCTACCCGCCCAATGTCACTTTTATAAACTGAGGGCAGAGCCGAGACCATGCCCCCGAATATCCGTCTACCTCCCGCTCGGGTCCTTACCAAGGTCTGGCCTTCTCGCCGCCTGCCCAAGGCCCCCTGCAGCAGCGGTACCGAGAAACAGAGCGCAGGAGTGCAGCTTCCCCACCCCCAGGGCCAGGTCACTGCGGGGCCAGCAGACACCAGCTCCGCCTGGGCGGGTGGCTCCATCCCAGGTCAGCCCTCCTGGTGAGGCCAGGAGCGTGCCCGCCCCACAGGAAGGCCCAGGCCCTCTAATGACCAGCTGGCTCCGCACCACCCACTCCTGGGAAGGTGGCACTCCAGGGGGGGCCTGCTGAATCAAGTAGCCAGCCTCCGGCCCAGACACCCGGACATTCGACCCACCCCTCCTGGCTCCCCAAGTCCTCCTCCAGGGGGACACCCAATGACTGGGGCCCGGAAGAGAGGAGGGACCAAGAGGAGAGGGCCTGCGGGCCTGCCCTGGAGAATCCAGAATGAGTGGGCCATGGCAGGATGTCAGGCGTGGGGGGTGGCGGCAGTGTATGACCAGGCAGGATGTGGTTTCAAAGGGGGAGTGGGTGTGTCAGGACCGAGAACGCCCAGCCTCCCAGTGAGCTTTGCACATGCTGCCTTCCTGACTCCTGGCCTGAGGTGGGAACTCTTCACAGCCCTGTTTCCAGGTGAGGGAGCATGAGGCTCAGAGAGGCGGGAAACAGTCCCGTCTGCTCTGTCCCAGCAGGCCTGGCTCTCACCCCTCCACTGTCGAACGCCTGGTCTCGAAGCACATCCTGAACTCTGCTTAGCCCTTGGCTTGGTCCTGTGGGGCAATAAAAGTGACCAAGGTGCCCCCACTGCAGGGCCTCTAGGCCCAGTGAGTGTGGAGACGGGTGGGAGAGGCAGAGGAGTGCCGAGTAACTGCACCCGTGTGCAGGGAGGGCACCTGTGGCTACAGCGGAAGAGATGGATGCCAACTTCGTGCTGAGGAGGCTTCCAGGTGGGCCTTGGGCAAGCTCTGCACTGGCTTGCAGCTTCAGGTTCTGCACAAACACGGGGGCAGGACACCTCCCTGGCTGCTGGGAGGAGTCCATGCACCCTCATGCTTTTGCAGAGCTTAGTGCAGAGTGGGGCGGGCAGTCAGGTCTGGCTGGTGCACAACTCTCCTCAAGCTCTTCACCACCTGGGAGAGGACCAGATGCTCACGGGGGACAGGAGTGTTCAGCACACAGTAGGTACTCAATAAATTCCGAGGGTCTCAAGAGCGCCCTGAGAGGGGCATAGGGCCAGAATGGGTGTAGCGAAGGGGGTGGGCCGCAGGGGTGGCAGGGAGGAGAGGCAGCCTCGGTTGCAGACCTGGGCTGCAAGGGCAGAGGGAGGAAGCAGCCCATCCCAAGGCCCCTGGGGAAGCGACAGGTCCCCCACAGGTAGGCACTCCCTGCAGCGACCCACCCCAGAGCCGGTGACTCAAGGTGACTCAACACCCAGAAACCCAGTTAGAGGAGCTCCCCATTCCCAGGCTGACTGAGGGCCGCGCCCAGAAGCTTCCCAAGCCCAGGAGGTGCACATTGTTTTGGTGCCATTTTTCTCCTCAAAGTTCTTTCTTGTAGTAAAACACGCACAACAAAACTTACCATTTTAACCATTTTTAGGTGTACAGTTCAGTGGCCTTAAGTGCAGTCAATAAACTGTCCCCGTTAAACACCAACTCCCCAAGCTCTCCCACCCCCCAACCCCTTGCAACCACCATTCTACTTTCCATCAATCTGACAACCCTGGGCCCTCCTATCAGTGGACTCACACACTACGTGTCCTTTTGTGTCTGGCTTATTTCACTTAACATAGTGTCCTCAGGTGCACCCATGATGCAGCATGTATCACAATGTCCTTCCTTTTCAGGCTGGATAATATTTCTCATGCCCATTTTACAGATAGAGAAACTGAGGCTCGGGGACAGTAAGTTACAGAGGGCACCTTAACATCAGATCTCCTCCAGGAGGCCCTTCAGCTGGAGCAGACCTCACCTGACAGCTGCCCCTGGGACACACCGGGCGTGGTCAGGAGAGCGCAGAAGGAAAGGGGGCAGAGTCAGGGGAGTGAGGCCTTTCCTTCCAGCCATGGAAAGGCCTGTTCAGGGCGTTTCCTGCAGACAGTGCATCCGCCCCTCCCTCGCTTAGCCCTCCAGAGCAGGCAGTGCCTTCTAGCAGAGGAGTGGAAACGGCTTCTCTGCCAGGGCCTCAGTGTCCCTGTCTGGAAGGGAGCAGAGAATCTGTCACAGATGTACCCATATTCTGTAAAAGGTGGTCAAGGTACCAAGGGGCGTGTGATCACAAATCAAACACAGAACTCCTAGAACCATAAGAAAAAGGGCAGTCAAGCCCTGGATGGTGTGGCTCAGGTGGTTGGAGCGCTGTCCCATACACCAGAAGGTGGCGAGTCCCATTCCCGGTCAGGGCACATACCCAGGTTTCGGGCTCGATCCCCGGTTGAGGCACATATGGGAGGCAACAGATCAATGTTTCTCTCTCACATCAATGTCTGTCTGTCTCTCCCTCCCTCCCTTTCTTTCTCTAAAATCAATTTTTAAAAACCCTCAGGTGAGAATTGAAAACAAAAAAAGACAATCAATTGGAGAAAAAAAATTGGCCAAATATATAAATAGACAAGTTAAAGAAAAAAAATGCAAGTGGAAATTAATGTATGAAGTAATTATTAATCTCACTACTAATCAGGGAATGCACATTAAAATAATCAGATGCCGTTTCACTCCCCTGCGCCTGGCAGCAATGTTGAATTCCTAGCGGACGGTCGGGCACACAGGTCCCACAGGCCAGCAGTTTCTCCGAGTTGCAGCTCTTGGAGAAGAGCTTTACATACATGTGAAGCCACGCACAGGGGTGCTCACTGGAGAGTGTACTGTTTCTAATAGCCAAACGTCAGCAACACGCTCAACACCACCAAGGGGCGGGAGGGTAAACTGCTCTAATCATACAGCTCAACAGGGAGGCAAAGGAAACGCGACCTGGAGAGACAGGCCTCAAAAACAAGCCGAAAACAAGCTACAGACTGATACACACGTTACATAAGGTTTTC